AATCTAGGTAAGCCTAGGATAAGTAGAGAATGCATGCTTATGTAGACTGGCAGTGATAAAATCTCAATACATATCAAAGCCAAAGTAATACTTCTGACTCTAGTTCTCATTCACAGAGTTCAGTAGCTTGCATCTGACTGCAGACTTCATAGTCTTAGCTTAGTGCATGGGCCAGTTTAAGTTCTCAACCTTTCTAAGACCAAAGTTACTGATCTCTTAGGATGTGCTTTCTCTTGTTAATCTTATCTTTCTAACGAACTATTTGCAGCTATCGGGCTTGGTCTATACTCTGGCTTTCTCTTGTGGCTTCTGTAGAGAGGTATGAAGAACTTAAACTTTACCTTTGTTTTTTTTTTTCTTTTCTCCCTGCTAACTTCTGTAACTCTGCTTTGTTACTTTGCTAGGAAAGCTGCACAATCCCTGCCCACTGGCAATGCTGCTGTGCATGAGACTATCTACTTCATTATCCCATTCTATAGCCTGTTGCTCACTTCAGCTATGCAAAGTATTTCTATATTTTTACTCTGCCTTTCCTTTTAGGCAGAGATTACAGAGGGAGTGTCCCACATATCAATATCAGCACCATCACCAGCATTACCAACTGTATCTTCAGAAGAACGCAAGGAACGGTGGGAACAGGGCCAAGCTGACTATATGGGAGTGGATTCCTTTGACAACATCAAGAAGAAACTTGATACCTACCTTCAGTAGAAATGCCTGTCTCAAACAGTGGTGATGCAAGGACTTGTTCCAGAACTAACAGCTAGAAAGGTGTAGATGGTGGTCAGTTACACTTGCTAGTAGCTTGATGAAAAACTTCTTGGCTGAAGGCCGCTGCAGTGCTACAGATGAAGAATGAGCAAAAGCTAGGAAGCAGAATTCCTTGGGCCACCTATAACTGCCCAATTTCCAATTCTCCCTACTAGATAAAACCAGGTATTTTCAGCTTAAATTTTCTTCTGTTGTGATCAATTGGCTCAACATATTCCTTGAAACTGGGTTTGTTACCTCACCTCATTAAGGTGATTAGCATTGATTCCTTTGCTTGCTGTTTTAGATGTAAAATCTAATTCATGGGATTGCTCATACACTAGAGTGGTAGCTATTCTGCTTTACCATAAATGTTTTAATGACACTGGGATACATACAGATGTAACAGTAATAGCACTGCTTTGCTCTTCCAGTCACAATTGCACTGAAGTTTTGACCAGGTTCTTACGCACAGTGCCTACAGCATGGCAGAATGCATTTTTCAGTTCTGTATACTATGGGACTAGTAAACTTGAGTTTTATCTGTTACTTGCAATGTTGCACTTGATACAAAAATAAAAAGTTGTCATGCATTTCTGGCTTCCCTAAACTCTTGAGCAATTAAAAAAAAAAGGGAGCTCTGAAGCAGTCTAACTAAAATATTCAACAGGTATAACCCTTACGCTTTGCTAATGCTACTGTAGTTGTCATTAGCAAATGTCCAGCTTTTAGTTCTGTAATTATTTACAGAGTATATCGTCATTTGCCAGGGAGCTGTTTAGGGCCAATCCCCTTATTAGCTTGCCCTAAGTATAGGACAGGGCAGCGGAGGAAGTACCTGCTGAAGCTACTCACATAAGCAACATGGAGCTTGGGAAGGAGTCTTTCTTTTGGTGACTAAAGAAACATCATCCCTAATGTAAAATAAACAATCAACAAGCTCACCATTTGCTGGTAAAGCAGAAGATGTAATCTGGGTATGAGAGTTTGTTTTAAGTTGTTTTCACTATTTAATTGCTCTAAGATTCTTTGGTCACTATTTAGCAAAAATGCTAAAGATGAGGTCCAAAACAAAGTAGCTTGTAGCTATTTAAAAGCACCTAACATCTGAACTCTCAGTTGTAACTAGCCCTTTCCTGTGTGGGTTTTTCTTTTGCTGTGTTGGGTTTTTTTAACAGATAAATTTGAAGTTGTGTGAAAGCAGGAGGGATTACTAGTTACAATGTATAGTGACAAAAGTATACTTTATCCAACAAGTACAAATATTGGAGTTTGCATACTCATACTCTATGGAAAATGGTAAAATACTCTTGAAGACAGCTAAACAGTCTAAGTTTTGCTCCCCTTGTCTGTATTCGTACTAGAGAATAAGCACGTTACTTCTTTTTAAGCTTAGCTGGAAAGAACTGAAAGTGTAAAAGCATAAGACTATACCAACCTGAAATTTTGGTTTAGTATGTAAGTTTTGTTACATTAATACAAGAAGATGAGGAAAGATGCTGAATAAGATGAAAGCCTGCATGTTTTGGGTTAACAAATATAGTTAGTAAAGAAAGAACACCTATAAAACCATTCTGTCCTAGCCTCTGTGACTCATACTATGGTCAAGTGTTTACCCACAGCCTCAGGAAAATGAAAGGTATGATATCTCTACCAAACTCTATGCAGCTTATTTTCAATAAAAAGACCTTTATGTCATTATCTGCCACTATTTCCTTCATGAATACTGCAGGCAGCATTTGCAGAGAGAGAGATCCCTTTATCCCATGTAATATCTGATACATCAAATAATTTTCTGCTCTAAACTGTAGGTATTCAAACCAGTAACTGAATTAAAGCACTATACTCAAAACATCCTTATTCAAAAGTCATAGCCCTGCTTAGATTGCAGCTCAAGTATTGGAACTCATTTGCCTTTAAAAAGCATGTAATCAAAGGTGTTCCTCAGACAGTGACAATTCAGAGCAAGTCTTAAACTTTTTTTTTCCATTTATCTTTATGTAGGGGGTAAAAAAAACCCCACAATGATTGATAGACTACTAGCTCAGTCTTTGGAATTAAAAATGTTACATTCTTAACTCAAAAGCTCATTTCTAGAACATGCTACAGAACATACTGTTAGAATTCCAAGGAAGAGAATACCAAGAGCCAAACACTACTTACAGATTATGAAAAGCAGAAAGAAACCCCAAGCAACCAGAACACGGTGGCTTTTAACTGAACAGCTCCATCAAATCAGCTTTGACCTTTAACTGTTCTCTCAGATACATTAATGGTTTTCTTGTGAAAGACCTTAACTAGCCATACAGCTTAGTACTAACTCCAGTAAGTTTTTATTTGGCTTTGGAACATGGAAACCATCATCCAGTAGAGGAAAAATGATACTAGTAACTGTTTTCATAATCATAACTCAGCCACTCTGCAAAATATCAGTGTATTTTAACACAAGTAATGATGTAGCTTGACTAGCCATTGAAACAAGTCTTTTCCTCATGGAATTTTAACTTGGAAAATGGAAAGAATGATACAAAGCCAAATCTATCATTCATAATAAAAAATTACTTCTCCAGCTTATCTCTAAACATCAGAACCTGAACCACAAAAACCCAAAGAGTCTAATTTACATAAAGTCTATAAAAAAAAATTTCTATCAGGCATAGCTCTGTTTTCTTGTTCTTTTGTCAACTTACCAATGACAGCCAGTTACTGGGGTTCACACTGTCTTCAGTCATTCATGTCTTTTTAATTCTTTCTCTAACAGACTTAAAGCACTTTTCTCTATAGCTAAGATGCTGGCTTCCCAAAAACTGCATCAGCTTGTTAGATTACATATTTTGAATTCCTTTCTCACTCTTTCCATTGGCTCACTGTTTCTCCAAATATCAGACATCTTCCCTTTATTTCTCAGTCCTTTTCCATTTCCTATGTTTGCAATTCATCTTATAATCAGCTAGCTGGTATTCTAAGACAGAGGAAAAGTTGAAAGGCATTAGAAGCAAATCAGATTCCATTTCTCTGCTGCCAAATACACTTCCTGAATCTAAACACAGAATCTAAACAGGACCTAAACATAGAATCTCTGCCTCCAATTTGAAGTTTGAGCGTTACAGGGAAGGCAGCATCACCGAAGACCAGAATCAAATGGAAAGAGATAGAAGGAACAGACAAGAATATTCAAGTAATATTCAACTGAGATTCTTCAGTGCTATTTATCACTTTGCAGTACATGAACACGAGCAGTTTACCAAATTCTTCCCCTATAAATCAAGGTGCATGATGATCAGCATTCCGTTAAGACATATGCATGGGACTGGAAAACCACTTAATGGAAGAAAACTGTTAGAAAGCTGGCAGCTATTAAAATAATATGTTTTGTTTATTTTGCAAGGGCTGATTCACTGACAAGTGAGTGGGTCATTCTACTTTGCATATAGCACAGCTGTATTGTTCAAAGTGTGTACAGAAATTAGAAAGCACATTATCAATACAAGCCTATGATTCCAGCATTTTATCCAAATCACAAAACCTTTACTTCTTAAAAAAAAAAACAACAAAAAAACCACCAGTGGAATTCTGTTTAAGGGAAGTAAAATATTAAAAGAAAGTGTTTTACAAATTTAAGTACTTCATTTTTACTAGCTCCTGGGAAGTAATCAACAGAGGAACTCCCTGGTGCACCCGTGTATTATTCAGAAATAGTAAAAAAAAGGTTTTAAAATTTTGAATTAAATACCATCTTTGAACATAGTCTGCAAAAGTAAGAATTCCTTATGAAGTGATCACTGACAACCTATTCTGAAACAAACAGCCCAGATCTGTTTGGTTATCAGGAAACGTTGAGATTGAAACATGAAGCTAATTAATTTCTTAAGGGCTTTGTCTGAAGGACAAAACACACATTACTTACCTTTTGTTACCTTTTCACCTCTAAGAGATGAAATTCTTGTTAGTTAGAATGCATGAAAATGCATTTCTGTTTTGAGGGATTTTTATGTATTCTTAAGCGTTGTACATAATAAGCAACATTTCAAAGAAATGAACACTGGCAAGATTTCAGGAGTGCAGAACAAGTTTTGTGCATTTCTAAATTAACATTTAGGAGCAAATCAGTTTTTATATTTTATGTGAAGCATTTATGTTTTGACAGCAAAGACAGCAAAACCAGAAGTTAGCACGAGACATATAACTTGAACAGCAGTATTAACTAAAATATTAAATATATTATTTACTCAAAATACCACAGTTTCAAGCTATAAGTCAATTAGAGCCTTAATTTCATTAATTTTGGTTTGTTTTACTTCACTTGCTGAAGGCTTTTTGGTAGCAAAGGCTCCTGCTGCAAGTTCCCTCTTCTTGTTCTGAATTTTCAGCATATTTTCTTCCACTGAATCCTTCACTATGAACTGAAATAGAAAAAAGGCCCAATGAAATGAAGGGATTTTTTTTTTTTTTTAAATTAAAAGTTTAGGATGAGAAATTTAGATACTTTGGAAGAAAAGTTAAAAAGCTGAGTAGTCTAAAGCACAGTTACATTATTTCATTATTACTTTGTAAAGAAAACACAAGAGGGAAGGGTTATAAAGCAGCTGAAGGAGAAGGTTTGGCATTTTAATTTTTTTGCCTTTTTTTTTTAAAAAAAGGCTTATTGACAGAATATCTATCTCTTCTTTGCTACTTATATTAGAAGAGAACCTGTCTTCAGTTTCTCAAGTAATGTTTTTGTCAGTGGGTATTAATGAGGCAGACCAGCTGCTCTTCTGCAGCTAAACAAGCTGCTATGACAAGAGCAAAAGCATTCTACGTACCTTCAGGACAATAAACTGTAATAGCCAGGCTAGACAACAGCAATATTACCCCATCTTAGTCAGTCCAAATAGCTCAACAGGGACATCTAATTTTTAAAATTAGTATTTCACAGGGAATAGGTTACATTTTATTGAATCTTACAATCCAAAGCCCACACCTTCAAAATCATACCACAATTTAAGTTTACTGGTGAGACGTATGATGTCACAATTCTTTTAAAAATGCAGTAAAGTGTTTTGGAAAAGAATTTATTTATTCATAACCAGAAAAATGTTCAAACAGATCACCTCTCAACTCACCTTAGTAATAACAACATTATGCTTCTGACCCAGCCTGTGACACCTGTCAAAACACTGGTCTTCTGCAGCAGGATTCCAAGCCTGTCAGTAGCAGCAATGAACAAGCTAAATAACTTACTTCAAAATACATAGCAAGATGTACATGCAATCACAAAGAAGTTACTGTACCATCACCTCTTGAACAAATATCGCTTGCAGATTAATTACTCCCAATCTAATACTCACTCCTTAAGTATCCCACTATAAAGAAAGCTTTGAGAACTTCTGGTTATATATTCATAACAAGCAGGAACTTCAGGTAAATGTTTTAAAAACTAAGTCTGTCAGGAGTCTAGGAGACATCAAAACAATCTCGTTGTCATTTTAATTCTGAAATAAATGCTGCATATACTAACTGCCTCAGTACTCTTTTCCTGATAGCAAAATCTAAACCAGCTGAACACAGGCAGTTATTTTTCAGTGGACTAAGTCCCCTGACCATTAAGAAAGCCCATGTATACTTGCATTGGTATATGCAATCATCACCAAGTTAGGTAAACAAGAAATTTGCTGAACACAAAATGGTAGCATAGCTGTTCCTACTTACGCTCAGGATATAACACTAAACACAAGGATTTGTGAAATGCGAAGTCTGTGCTCTGCATTCTTCTAGCATGTTTTTTCTATATAAAGGTATAGCACTACTGGTTCTCACAGAATAGATATTTAAATCTACCTAAAATATTATAATGTTCTGTCTGTGATAAGCAAGCCTCATCCAATGGGCTCACCTTGCCATGTCACCCACATACTCTAAGTTATCTAGGAACTCTTAATGAATCCTTTCTATAGAAGGGGGGAAAAACCAGCACTAGGCTAGCACAAAAAATTCACTAGATATTAAGAACCTCTGATGCCTAAAGACACTTAAGACATCAAGCTGCAAGATAAAAGCAAAACAAGCTTGTTTCTCCAGTCTAAGGTAGCGAGCAGAAGTGCAACAAATGATACATCTGCCACTGCAAGATGAACATTCCTGGCAAGCTACGTATGCATGGCAAATGGTTCTAATACTAATCTGACTGTACAAACAAGAAGTAGTCTTGAGGGAAGACCTAGCCCAAACATGCACAAGCGTGTTTCATTCTATCTTTGCTGTAGTTGAGGAGGACCAAAGTGTACTACTCTCACTCTTCTTCTCTCATGAGTCCAGCAGAGGAAAACTGAATTGCAATACCTCTATGCCTTTCTGCAATATCTCATACAAAGGATACTGTATTTTACATGGGAAAATATGAAGAAACTTTAGCCTCAGAGAAGTGTCTGTATACTGGTGATACTCTCACATTAAAGGTTCGGATTTCTTCCTAAAGGTGAGAATTCAGCAGATATGATTGTATTTAAAAAAATAAACAATTTAAAAAAATAAAAAAAAGGGAAGAAAGTTGTCTATGGTTGGATAAATGTTCCTCCTTTGCACTGTGGTATAATACCTCTCAGAGAAGAACACAGACCTCTAAGCTACAGTTCTACAACAAATCCACAGAATCTGAGTTGAAAAACTGGTTACTCCATTGGCTCCAGAGGTATTTCTGCTTTTTCTTAAATCCTATTATTGCTGCCAATTCACTTGAAGGAATGCTAATGCATGACCGAAACTTATTTGGCACCGAACATTCAAAACTGAGATCATAAAGGATGACATGGTCCCACTGCCCCTTCATCAAATACAAGTAGTCAACCACTGCCACTTGGGACAGTTACCATCACAGAATGGTCACCAGCAGGATGAGGAGAAGTTGTTCAATGGTGTATGAAGGCTGCAATTGTATTTGGCTCTGGTTTGTGAGGTATAACTATATACTGTAAATGACTCAGTGTTAACAATGCTTAGCTTATTTTCTTAAAACTGCTTGCCACAGGACAGTGTATGCATTATACCTCATTAATTATCTTCACAGAAAATGAAAATTTTTTTGGACTTTCCACAAGTTTTCTTATTCAGAGAATTGGGTGGTTTTTAATGAAAAAAAAAAAAAAGGCAGTTGGACTAGATGGTGTTGTAGGTCCTCTTCCAACTGAACTATTCAATGCAACACATACAAAAACAATACTTGTGAAGATGTATCGCAATTAATGAAAAACCTTTTTCCAAGGCAACTTCTCCACACTCTCACTTGTATTTAATTCCTTTAGTTTATTAAGTAAATAGCTTTTGTCTTCATGCTGTTGTTATCACTAACCTGATGCCCAAGCTAGTAGTTTTTCTTTAGTATTGGTGTTACCAGATACCCAAGTCCAAAGCTACTCTATTTTCATTTACTTTGGTTTTGTTTTCAAGTGCACAAACTGCAGAATTTGTCTCAGTTTGCAACTGCCCAAAATCTAGGACATCAGAGCAGAGGAGTAAATAGTGGAGAAGGGAGGAAGTGAACAGAAAAACTTCCATTTTGTACAATGACACAAGACACAAACCAATTCTGTTAATACCACCATTTTGCTATCAATAAATGTAATTTACATTTTTATTCCTTCCAAAAAATTTTGCATCCCTGAGTGCTTTAATGAAAGAAAAAACTTCCTAAATTTAGATATCACCATCTTTCTCAGTCTCCTACAACCACAAAAAGTAACCTCAGATTAATGTCTTTATAAAGAAATAAATTCACAAGAATAACAGGAAAGACTAGAGCAGAGAAGCACTGCAATAACACAGAAAAAAATATACTGTTCCTGAAATTCCACTTCACAGCTTTTGAAGTTATTAACTAGAAAAAACAAAATAACATTCAAAAGTATCAGAAAGAAAAAGAAATAAAGAAGGAACAGATATCAAATGCTACACTGTAAGGTGGCACATCACTTTGTTAAACAGTACTACCAGCATTCTGTCCATTCACAGTAAATAAATGGACAGCACAAAAATATTGTGTTAAAACAAAAACATGCCAGGGAAACAAACAAAAACTCCTCTTTGCCCTTTAACATATACTCATCAGTGTCATTCATTCCAGAGGGGCTTTCCTTCTACCTCTTAGGAAAACACCAAAGGAGCTTCACCTAGATTAAGTTAGATAATTATGAACGACCCATTACTCACAGGATCCATTAAAAACACTCGGGAAGCTGCTGTCAGATTTAATCCAACTCCACCTGCTTTCAGAGACAAAAGCATTACAGTTGGGGATCCTGCTTGGCTGCTTTGGAAACAATGAATTGCTTCTACTCTTTTCTTCTGTGTCATTGAGCCATCCAAACGAGTGAAGGCAAACCCTGATTCTCTGAAGAGAAAGTAAAAATGTTCAATTTAACAATCCATTTTCTGTGACAACAGGAAATACATTCAAAACCTGACCTCTACTTTGAAATGCGTATTTAAAATTCTGCATTTAACAGGTGATACATTAAAAATAACAAGAATGAGAGTCATGGCTTTATTCCACTAATCTAATTAAGTAATTTGTTCCTCTTCTGAAGTTCTAAAGATCAAAAGGATACTATATCCTTTGAGAGATCTTTCTGAAACACCATAAAAGCACATGTTTATTAAAAATGACAGTAGTTCTACTTACTTCAAGGGATTTTCTATCAGTGACAGGAAAGTTGTGAACTGAGAAACAACCAGACATTTAGCAGTTGGATTATCCCTCCGTAGTTCTACCAAAGCATGCATGAGAGCATTTATCTGAAATCAAATGAAGACTTATGCAGCTTATTCTGACTTCGTTAGATGCCACTCCTACAGGTACTTTGATAAAGTTCACATCAATTGAGAAATCACTCTTCAGTAATACCTTTTAAACGAACTAATCTTAAATTCTGTGGGTAGGGTTTCTTTTCCAAAGGAAACTAAGGGTTGAGCACTTTTAACGGTCACAAACTACAGGGTGATTGATGGTGCTGTGCGGAAGAGGAGTCAGAAACCCAGTCCTCTACTACCCAGGGCATACAGGGAAAAAGGGAACAGCCACAGGGCAAGTGCTCTACTGTAGCAATACTCAAGAAGCAAGAAAGGCATTCCCTAGGAACATTCAGGCAAATAAGCTATGCAAGACCTTGGGCTAGGTATGACAGAGGATAAGGAGGCACCAGAAACACTCTTGGGACCAACATGAGAACAAAAGGAGCAAGGAATTGGATCTGAGGCAGAAGAACATTGCCAGTTTTCTCATGTAAAGTTTAGCTATGATTAGGTAAAGAACCACTAACTAGAGAATGCAAGTAACTGCACCAGGTAAAAAATTTAAAAAACAAACAAACAAAAAACCTTAATTTATATTTATCCTGGAGCACAATGTCCTAAATTAGTTCTTAGGTCTCCACAGAAAGATTTTTAGAGAATAAGTTTATAACCAACTTCTGAAAGAACAACAACTTCATTACAAATTAAAATAAAAAAAAGTTTCAGAAAAGCAATCTCAAAACAAAAAGGTCAAGCTACCAGCAGGAAGATTTAATTTCTGGCAGCAAATGCACAATGAAGGTAAGACAAAAAATGATGCGACAGACCTTGAGAAACAGGTCTGCAAAGTAAAATAAGAATATCTCACTACTTTATCTGACAAGTGTTATATTGAACATATGATGCCCACTTAGTTTTCCCCTTTAGAGCAGAATATATAAACAGTTCTAAGAAGGAAGGATTTACTTAGATTTTTAGTTTCCAAAAGTAAATTAAGACCTGAATAGTTTCAGTGGTTATAGAACTACTCTATCTTCAGAAACAGAAACAAAAGACAAAGCAACAGCTCTTTTACCGAAAGTTCCATTTAATTAATACGCATCTATGTCCTGCGCAATCACCAGCATCAAATTACAACTGGTGCTCCTTTTGTCTTGCTTCCCTGCTACAAACTTTGTTTGTGATGAGATATTATTATGCACTTTATCCTGTGCTGGCTAGACACGCTGTGCAGACTTTTAAATAATAAAGTATGTTATGCATATGTAAAGTAGGTTCAGCATATTTACACATAAATTCTAGAGAGTGCTCTACAAAATCATAATGAAAGCCAAGTAAAAAACAATGGAATGTACCTTTGAACTGGATATCCACTCTCGATCAGACTTCTTTCCATTACTGGAGTCTATTTCCTCTTCTAGGGGACATTCCACCAAGTGCTCTACTCTAAGCTCATTCCTACAGAGAGGGCATTTGGCATTTGGCTACAAAAAAGTCCAAATAACATTAGAAGAAACATATTAAATCAAATTATTTATAGTGAGTACTAAAGATCACCTTTACAAAGCACCTTTTATGAAATTATTATATTGGTGTTCATAAAAAAAATCCTCAAGGACTACATTCGTTCTTGTAACACATTGCTTTGTCATTTCTGACATAACAATCAAAATATTTGTGAGAACATTAAGGTGACATAAATGCTACATGTTTTAAAAACACTCAGCCTTCCTTAAAAGCGGTCATCTTTCCGAGCATATTTATACTTGAAATAAGCAGCTCAAGATTTGAAAGCAAGCAAATACTTGGACTATGGGGAGAAGACTATTTAAAATACCAGAAAAATAAACTATCTTTCAAAGACAAGATCTTTCTTAGTTACAAACAAAGAACGACCTTTTACCCTTTTTCTTCAAAGCCTGCACAGAAATAATAGCAGTCTGACGAAATATGCTTTGTCAGGGCCAGACACAGGGTATCTTCTCTTTTTCCACAACAGACATGAGAAATGAGACATAATTTAACACCAAAAGCTTTTTTTTCTCTCTGAAGCATACTCTAGATAAGTCAAAGTTTAGAATTTATACAATAGCACTTACATAGGACTACTCACAAAATTTAACAAAAGACTGCATGCACTATACAAATACACAACTTTGCACAGCAGAAACAACAGACATGAAAAACTTTTGCCTAACAGAGCAACCCTTTAAAATTGGCTACCTCAGTTTATATAGCAATCTGGCCACAGAACCAAGGCATCTTTAGACTGGCTGCAAAGCAGACCTCAGAAAGCAGATGATTACTGGGGGCTGCTAATCTGGAATGAACCTCTAGCCAATTAAAGAGGCTGGCAGTCATAGTCTGCATACATGAATTAATTGCAGCAATAAAGATATCCTTTCAAGAGACAGAATCTTAACACAAACGAATCCGAAATAAGTCTCCAAAACATAGTTACAAACAAACCATTCCTGAATTGGCAGCAATCCAAAAATCCTCCAATGATGAGACAAAATAAATGAATTCCAATAAATATGAAAAAGTTTCCAGGAAAAAAAAAAATCCTAACAGTGCTCATAAAGACTTCTCCGCTCTCCCCCCCAATAAAAGGCTCACATCTTTCTGCATCCCTTCTCCAATTTAGTACTGTAACTAAAAACAACAGAAAACCCAAAACACAGCTGAACAATGCCAATACAGATACCAAACACTTGCAGTGAAAGCATATGAAAGTGACAAAAAGTGTCTTGCAATCAACAACTAGAAGAAAAAAGAGCATGTTTTAATGCGTATCTGGCAAGCTTTTACAAGAATGCAGTTAATACACAAAGACATTAGATCACTGTAGAGATTTTACAGCTTTATTGGGACTTCAGCATAGGACATTTACTTACTTGCACAACTCTGAAGCTAGCCTCAAGGAAAGACTGAAATGAAGGTGTTAATTCTCAAGCTGTTAAGTAGTAAAAAGTTTTTCCAATTTCAGTAAATACTTTTAGGTTAACATTTAGAAAGATAAAATGGTCTCCAAGTCTGTAATACAATGAAAGGCCAAACTTTTCACTCAGCAGTTTTGTGTTGGCAGCTTCACATCCCATTCCTCACTGATGGCTTAATGCTCTCATTTGTATTAATAATGGAAAGCACAGGCATCTTGCCTGGAAGAATCCTGTTTGAACCCAAACTGTTTTTGAGGGAGGGGGTATGTGTTTGTTGGTTTGCTTTGTTTTTAAGGTGGGAAGTAAAGTACTTTCCTCAGCTATTTACTAGGAGAGAGTTGCATTGTAACCATTCAGGCACAGGAAGTACCCAACTAAGATGCAGCACTAGGATAAATACCTATTACGTGGAAACAGTTAATTCCCCAACTCTGAAATAGTGTTTTGGCTGGAAGCAACAAAAACTTCCTTGGGAATTGATTTAAATCAGGAATCATTTGAACTTAAGAACGGCTTACTCACTTGCTGCTTTACGAACTCACAATAGTTCAACTTCGAAAGAGCAGAATCTACACCAACCTCTGTTCAGACTTCACTACTATGAAAGCAATCGATGGAACAATGTGGAATTGGACAAAGGCCCTAGGTTCTGCAGATTCCAAGGTCTTTTCTAGGCAAAGCATAGTAAATAACTTGACAGCACAGTCAAGTAATATGGGTTCCATCACATCATGACCCAATTTATTTCTCTGCATGCCGAAATAAGCCTGAAGGTTGAGCAGGGGCACCAATTCTGCTACAGACACGTCAAGAACCTCTGCATAGGAAAAAGGCCTCTGCAAGTGCCCTTTCCTTAGAGGGTAATTTCACATCACTAGTTTCCCTCAAAATTGTCAGAACTCTCAACTGGGTTATCTGCATCAGAACAGAACCCTGCGTGTCTGGCAATGAAACAAAGGCAATCTACGTGCCAGACAGACAACACTTCCTACCTTTGTCTTGTTAGGTTGACTGATTATGCACAAGCAGGGACTAATTTGTCCCCTGCTGCCTCCTATGAAGAACACCACCTAGATTTAGCCTGGCACTTGCAGCTGTACTGTGGCTGAGTAGGAGGCAGAACAATTCCAGAGGGGAAGTGCAGCAGCACTGGATACAGATGGTGAGACTACCACACTATCAGACTGCCCTAGAAAGGAAAGGGCAAACAAGAAGGAAAAGTATAGCTTAGAAGCACACGTGAAAAATAAATACTGTGTTTTTCAAAAAAGCAATCAATAGACACTCATCCACAAGCTTATTCTGGACAGAGTCCAGAGAAGGGCCATGAAGATGACCCTCTAGCAAGGCAGCTATTTCACCATAGAAGTTTATCAGCTTGCAATAAGGAGAGTAGACACAATTTTAGTTCAACAGTCAACTTCCAATACACAGCTTTGGTCTTTTTTAAGCACAGCAATATATACATGCATCACATCACATACAAGCAGTGAAGAGGCATCCAGCTACACAGAGGTATACAACGCTGCACTAGATGCCATCGTTTTTACCGTAGGGACAAAGTAAGGTCAGAACTAGGGGAAGGGTCTTTGAAAATGATAGACCTTAACACTGTTCAGTCTGACAGTTACTCTCTCCATAGTTAGATTTCAGGCCGATAGTTTTTATAACCCAGCTGATAACTAGGTTTACACTGTTCACCATTTACGATTCAAAAGAACGATAGCTAGGTGGCCTTCTGGTGATACCAGTTCATTGCTTTTTAACAGCTATTACTTATTAACTGTAACCATAGATCACCAACCTGTTCACTTCTGATGACTTCAAAAATACATGGCTTACAAAAGACATGCGCACAGCGTGTTATCACAGGAAGAGTCAGTGATTCCAAGCAAACTGCACATTCTTCATCTGAACCAGAGCTCAGAACCAACTTCATTTTACTCACTAATGTCTCAGGCAGTTCTTCAGGGGTTTTATTATCTGCAAATACAGAAAGATACTTAAAAACAGAGATTTCCATACAGAAAACACTGAGGTGGCACACATCAACACAGTTCCATTGATCAAACTGATTAGGACAGTTTATACACAATGAGGATATAGCCTTACTCACTAGTTAATTGTTCAATAATTATTTAGAAATTATCCAATCATTTCTCCATCTTGTATTTTTCAGAAGATAAATGACAGCCTTCTAAAAAAAAGGTTCTTACCATATCTCATTGGTCTTTTGGTTTTCTGAAAAATCACACCTATCCCAATGGCATCTCAAAATAGGATTTTTCAAAACATTAAATTTGAGAACTCTCAAATTTAAAGTATTTCAAACAGACTATACTTTATGCAGCTGCACAGTTCTGGCTTGTCAAAAAAAAAATTTCACTCTCCTTTCAGTCCTCTGTGTTCACCCTTCCTTGCAGCCGTAACAAAGTCAACAGTTTCCTATTCTGCTGAAGAGGCAATGGTTCTGCTGACATGGCTACCAATCTACAAGCCATTCCCCAAAGCCCCTCTACATCTTCTCTCCTGAGGCAAAGAAAAAAATTTGCTGTAAAAGCACTTCTGTAAATTATTACAACAACAGATACATTGCTTTTTAACAAGCCTTCTGCATTTGGCTCTGCAGAGGTCCTCTTCAGTTATTTCTTTATGGGTTGTCAAAGCTTATTAACTCCTGTTTCTAGTCTTTGTAACTACTCATACTTCATTACTTTCATTCATATTTGAGTATATGCTCGAGTACCCACCTCTCAAACATAATCAAACATATTATGGTATGAAAAAAATAAAAGGTAACAAAGCTGGAGGTAGGTAAAAGCTAAAAACCAAGCTGAAAAGAGGAAGGCTGAAGCTAGAAAGCTTGGAAGCACACAAACGTGTTTCTATTCTTGAATACAAAGTGCAAGTCCTGTGTTTAGAAACACAGGAACCGAAAGCATTCACTCACCAGCTGAAAAACTAGAAGATGCATTTATACAGAGATGAGGATGGCAACAAAGCTGCCTCAATCTGAGCAGGACACCAAGGATGTCAGCATAGTGAGCTAGTACAGTCCCTTCACTGAAAAATCTGAACAAGAGTTTTATCATTAGTGTGAAATGCTACAGCCTGAAGTAACAGATGACATCAAGTGATCAAGTTAGCAGTTAAAATATATTCGAACAGGAAAGTGAAAAATCAGAACATAATTCTATCAAATCCTCTTCTGAAACAGGGTACAAAATGCTGCCAGCAGCATGTTCTACTAGAAGAAATGCTAACACATGGTGGCAAAAATTTTAAGGCCATTCTTTATGTATCTGCTATCCCTTTCTGCTTCTCTCAAAACAGAATTTCTAATATATGGTTCTGCAACAGTCTCTACTTCACTCTGCAGAACTGAATAGAGGCTATGCTAATTTGCAATTATTCACTTAAGGCATACACACTTGGCTACTAAAGCTCACATAATCAAAACTTCCGAAACACAAGTTTATGATATCAAACTTCAGCCTTCAGGATTAAAGAAAGCCATCTGCTTACCTGCTAATAGCAGCTTTGCCCTCCTTCTTCACAGATTGATAGATTTGTCTCTCTTCCTCTGTCAACGTAACATGCTGAATAAGTACTTTACGTTCTGGTAACTCCAGAATGGGTTTTCCTTTAACTTTACTTGTTTTAGTTCTTCTAAGGGTAATGCTCCTAATCAGAGACTGTAAACGCCTAAAAATAAACATATAGACAATATATTACCCAGCTGGAGTTGGTGTGTTGGGATTTTTTTTCAGTTTATTGCATAAATACACATTCTGTACAAAATCCAAGCCCAGTAGTATGATGTAATTCATTAACCCGAAATATTAAATAATTTGAATTATTTAATATTTATTAATTTGAACTAAAAAATTCAAATAAGAACTGATGACACATGCATTCCAATTTTAAATGTGAAACACTAATTTGTACGTTGCCCAGGCACTACTAGTCATACTCGTTTCACAAACCCTTTGGGAACACTTCGTACCCAAGTCCTCCTGGAGCTCCCATTGTGACTGGACGTTGAATTGTTCTGTGCCACCACTCTCGATCAGTAAAAGGTTTCAGTTTTAAGAAGGAAATAAGAGACCACAAATCCTTTACAGAATTCTGAATAGGAGTGCCTGAACAGAAAACAAACAAAGATTGTAAAACCTCAAAGAAACTAAAAAATACATATTTTTTTTTAATTAAAATATTACAAAACTCTTAAATATCTAACAGTGACAAAACTACAGCTCTCAATGCTAGGAAGACTTGGATGTTAATAGTTCCATTTCAGCTTCATCAGCAGTGGTTACATCATGATCTTCTTTAAATTACATTTATCATATTATTTATCATATGCTTGCACGGTTCCTGGCAGTTTTTAGGATGACTATTACATTTCAAAAAGCTGAGGTTTGGTTAAGTACATTAAGACTGTGAGCTCCTAACCAGACATAACATGCCAGTTTATAAATAGGTCCCTTTTTACTTGCACTTCCACCAAACCTGTGTAGCGAAAGTTATTTTAAAATTTGTGTCTACAAACTGAGTAAAAACAAACAAAACAAAAGAAACAAAAAAAAAGAAACCCCCAAAAGCCAAACCACAAAACCAAGCAGACAAAAAAAAAACAACTAAAAGACAACACACATAAATCCCTGCTCAAAGACAAGTTTAAAAACATTCCAAATGAATCTGACACAGACAGACATTAACCATCTCCCAGAAAAAACAAAAGTAGAAACACCAAGTGGGAAACACAAGACAGTATTACACTAAGATGATCTGCACTGCATTTCCTCTGGTGTCAAATATTTTACCTGTAAGTACCCATCTTCTGTGTCCCTCCAGATTTAAGGCAGCTTTAGTTTGCTGAGCATTTGGATTTCGTATAGTGTGCCCCTCATCCAACACAATTCTCAGCCACTTGACTTTATGTAAAGGGCTGTCACCTCTGATCTGAAACACAGTATTTTAATCTTTCACTCAAATTAAAATACTTTTTTGCAATTTGAAGCAATCTATTTAAATAATAATTCCACAATTAATAACGGATAGTATTTATTCACATCTTGTTTATTTATCAGCAGAGAAAAGCAAAACTAAGAATGAAGCGTTCCTTCTTTTAGATTTAATGATTCCTGGAAAATGTTACCAGTCTTCTTATACTCCAGTATGAGGAATGAACTACAGCAAAAACAAGCTAAGCCTGAAAAGAAGAAAGGCGTCAAAGACACAGAGATATAGAAAATGGATCAGAGAGAATATCAGAAGTTTATATTATATTTGAAGATGCAATCTTCAGGGTTTTAAAATTGCTGGAATTTCTATGAAAGCATCACTTTACAAATACATCCCATGCAATGAGTTACTTGGTTGTAGCCCATGTGCAACAAGAACTAAGGAATTATGCTTTTATATGCTCCATATTCTTTGAATTTGACAGGGGAAGGCAGAAATGGGATGCCACTGATATTTGAGGAGATTTACATACTTGCCATCCTTTTCTATCCTTAAGAAGTCTCTTCCTTAAGCTGTCACAATTGCAGCCAAATAAGTGTCTCTACAGGAGCAATCGATAAAAAACCTCCCTTCGTTACCACAGCAAACCCATAAGAAAGTACATAAAGCAGAACTGAAGCTATAACCTTTTATTGTCTACCAGAATAGCACTCGAATATACTGCCATCATTAGCCCAAACACCAGGAGTCTTGAACAGTAAGGCATCTTCAAAAAACACTTTTTCTCATTTACTTACTCCGTAATCCGTAGCTAAGATGTTGTATGTTGTCAGTACGATGTCTTGTTCTGAAAGAACTGATGGGTCTTTGCTACGGTCAGAACCGTAATAAACATAAATATTTACATGAAAATCTTGGTGGATATGTTGTTCAAACTGGTCCTGAAAGAAAAGTTGTCAAGTCACCCAAAAGATACTGTGTTACTACATGACTGTTAGAATAATATCCTTCCAAGCTGCCTTAACTAAAAACCACTTCCTCTAGCTCTGTGACATGCTACATCCACTTACATAACAAAAGCAATTTGAATTTGGGTTTCTTTTTACCTCTCCACCTAGGTGAGAAGAGGGACCAGAAGTAGTCACCTCAGTCATTAGTAACAGACACAGTATCACATTCTGGCAACTCTAGCCCTACTTCTTGCACAAGTATTAATTCACATCCTGATGGTATACTGGTGGTGCGTTGACCCTCGCTGGGTGCCAGGTGCCCACCAAAGCAGTTCTATCACTCCCCCTCCTCAGCTGGACAGGGGGGGATAATATAACAAAAGGTTCATGGGTCAAGATAAGGACAGTTTAATAAAGTGAAAGCAAAGGTCACGTGTGAAAGCAAAGAAAAACAAATGATGTTATTCTCTACTTCCCATCAGCAGGTGATGTCTAGCCACCTCCTGGGAAGCAGGGCTTCATTACACGTAGTGGTTGTTCCAGGAGACAAAAATACCCCCCCTTCCGCCTCCCTTTACTTAACTTTTATATCTAAGCTGACATCATATGGTATGGAATATCTGTTTGGTTAGTTTAGGTCAGCTGTCCTGGTTACGTCCCCTCCCAAGATCTTGCCCAGCCCCAGCCTGCTGTTGGCGGGGGGGG